AACAGGACCCTACAAGGGACCCTAATTTAGAGAACTACCCGTACAGAGCCCTTGTAGTACCCTTATCGAGACCCTTCTTCATCTCCTTAAGGAGCCCTTAAAAGAGACCCTAACTTAGGCTACCCATATGGGTAGTTGTCAAAATTAGGGTCCCTTTTTGGGTCCTTATTATAATACGGCACCTATTGTTTAGGGTACCCCAAAAGGGGCCATAATTTTGACAGCTATCCATATGCTTTGAACAAACTTATCCAGCCACAGGGGGGGTGCTGTAAGGCCGGCAAGGGCCTTACGAATGGGGTTGAGGGTTTAGGGTTGCAAAGATCTCTGCAAAACACAGCAGACAACCGTAAAGTAGGGCCTGAATACCTAGAACAGGGTTTCGGTGGTCAATTATGCTGTTTTAGGCTATAGACAGAACAAGGAGCCCCAAAATGTGTCGGAAATTCTCAAGGCCCCTAGACTTCATGAGCCCATCCTCACTAAATCCCTGCACCCCATCCCATCTCCTCAACCCTTCCCTTCCGGGTTAGGGTTTAGAGGTTTAGGGTTTAGGGTGCCCTTTGGTAAAGCCTTCATAGTCCCGAATAGAAGCTATTCGGGGTATAGTAGCTTGGGTATAACAAGGAGGATAGTGGGAGGGTTTAGGTCGCCCGGGTATAATAGTTGGGGGGGTTTCGGTAGCCCGGGGTATAGCAAGGAGGATACTTGGGGTATGGTAAGGAGCATAGTTGGGGGGTTTAGGTAGCCCGGGGTATGTATAAGAAGGAGGATAGTTGGGGAGTTTTGGGAGGATCTAAACCCTAAACCCTAAACCCTAAACCCTAAACCCTAAACCCTAAACCCTAAACCCTGGGGTTTAGGGAGCCCTGAGCTCTTCGAAGCTTCTCGCGTCCGCCATACCAGGAAAGAGCGCCTCGATAGCCTGCCTTTGGAGGAGCCTTCCAGAAGTAGGTGTTTAGGGTTTAGGGCCTTTGGGTTTAGGGTCCAGGGTTTACAGCCTTTGGGTTTAGGGTCCAGGGTGTAGGAGGGTTTACGGTTTAGGACCTTAGGGTCTTTGGGTTTAGAGCCTTAGGGTTTAGGGTTTAGGGCCTTAGGGACTTTGGGTTTAGGGCCTTAGGGTTTAGAGTTTAGGGCCTTAGAGCCTTAGGGTTTAGGGCCTTAGAGCCTTAGGGTTTAGGGCCTTAGGGCCTTAGGGCCTTTGGGTTTTGGGCCTTAGGGTTTAGGGCTTTGGGGCCTTAGGGTTTTGGGCCTTTGGGTTTAGGGTTTTTGGGCCTTAGGGTTTGAGGCCTTAGGGCCTTAGGGTTAAGGGCCTTAGGACCTTGGGGTTCAGGGCTTAGAGTTCAGGGCATTCGTGTTTAGGATTTAAGGATCGGTTTCCAATGCCTGGGGTACCTTATCTTTGTTTGTCTTTATAGCGTGCTTCCACGATTTGGGTAGAACCCTAGATCAGGGTCCGTTTTTAGAGGTCCCCCAAATAGTATGGCACCCTTACAAGAAGGACCCCCAAAAGGGACCTTGCTTTAGAAGGCTGCTCATTTAGGGTGTGATGTTTTTGCTCTGTGTAGGCCTTGTCTTTTCTTTGAGGCTTCAGGGTGTAGGGTTCAGGTTAGGGCTTTGGGGGTTTCCATGTGAGGGTTCAGCGATTTGAGAGTTTAAGGCTTGCGGTTTGAGGATTTAGCATGGTTTGGCGCTAAACCCTAAACCCCAAACCCCAAAAGGGTTTACGCTGTGCGCGGCAGGTCGGCACTGCAGGGTCAGGACCTAGGCGTCCCAAGACGGACCAGAAGACTACGAGTCTTCACCGCCAACCCAAAGACGGAGCCATCCAAAAGCGAAGCCAGAGCCTCCCTAGAACCCTAAAACCCTAAAGCCCTAAAACCCTAAACCCCTAAACCCCTAACCCCTAAACCCTAAACCCCTAAACCCCTAAACCCCTACTGACAAGGATCAGGGTTTAGGGTATAGGGTTTAGGGTTTAGGGTTTAGGGTTTAGGGTTTAGGTTTTAGGGTTTTGGGTTTAGGGTTTAGGGTTCAGGGAAATCGCAAAAGGCTTCAGGGTGCAAGCCTGTCTGCTGACCCTTA